TGGGCCAGCAGTTTGACACCCCTGATCTAGAAAGAACCTATACTATCCTACTTAATGCATATGCCAGAGAGCCAGTTTGACCTGGTTAAGGCACCAGGGTATCAAAGCACCAAGGTAAAAAAGCAGGAGACTGTGAGTTCTAGTCCTGACTTAGCCATGAAAGCCAGTTGGATGACCTTGGGCCATTCTTGCTGTCTTTCAACCCACCCCACCTAACAGAGTTGTTGAGAGGTAAACAGGAGGAGGAAGGAGTGTTGGATATGCTTTGAGTTATTTGCAAAAATAATAAAGGCTACAGATAAATACATAAATAAAAATCCCACTATGCAGATTTGTGTAGCAAAGAACAAGGAGGTAGAGGTTTTGTATTTTTTTAGATAAAGAAAAATTGCTCCCCCTGTATGATCTTATATTTTTTTACAAAAATATTTCTTCTACAGCAGTAATCAAACCAAAATAGCAAACACACCATTCATTTCTAGTGTAATTTATCCTGCTGATTATTGACAGATGGTATATAGCCTATTATTAGTCTAGATTACACTCTCCATTTTTCTTTTTCTTTTTTTTATCAACTCTAGCAATAAATTTCAATGAGTAAAAAAAGAGAGAGAAAGGTGCATTGATTCCAATCTGTCATTTGTTTCCTGAATTCTGAATGTACTATGGTAAAAGAATAATAATCAAAAGTGCATGATTAGAGAACTGCTTGTTAATGCCTTATTAGGCTGTTTCTTTAGTCCTCCACTGACTATATGAACAGCAGAGCTGTGCAGAGTCACATCACTCTCCTATCTGTTGGTTTAGCCATTGCAGCAAAATTAGGAATTACAGGTAGTCCTCGACTTACCACAGTTCATTTAATGACCATTCAAAGTTACAACGGCACTGAAAAGAGTGACTTATGACTGTTTTTCACACTTACAACTGTTGCAGCATCCCCACGGTCACATGATCAAAATTCCGAAGTTTGGCAACTGGTTCATATTTATGACGGTCACAGTGTCCCAGGATCATGTGATCAGCTTTTGTGATCTTCTGACAAGCAAAGTCCATGGGGAAGCTAGATTCATTTAACAACCATGTTACTAACTTAACAATGGCAATGATTCACTTAACAACAGTGGCAAGAAAAGTTGTAAAATGGGGCAAACTCACTTAACAAATGTTTCATTTAGCAACATAAACTTTGGGCTCAATTGTGGTCATAAATCGAGGACTACCTGTATTAACCTTTTGGGGCTGTGGACCCCTTTGAGTATCTGGAGAAAGCTATGGACTCCTTCTCATCCAAAATGTGTTTAAATGCATAAAATAAAATACATACAGTAGATATAGACTGCATTGCAAAGGAATCAATTATACTCAGACATAAAATATTAAAAAACATATAACGTAGAAATTTATGCATATCCTTACTAGCCCATTAACTCAATAACAAGACAGGCTAATTTTCAGTTAGAGGTTGTGAAAATAAAATTGTAATTCTTTTTTCTCCCTTGAAATTCACAGACTCCCTGAAATCCATCTGGGGACCCCCGAGGGATCCATGGACCCCAAGTTAAGAGCCCCTAGCATAGACTAAGAAAATATCTAGAAATGAAGAATCAAAATGTTCAGATTTGAGCAAGGGAAAGTAGCTGAGATAAGAGACAGAAGGAAGGCTTGATGTCCACCTTTTGAGGTAGAGCAATTCAAGAAACAGACCCCAGAAGAAATACTAGAACTCTACAGAATTGATGAGAGAGCCAGTTTGATGTAGTAGTGAATCTTGAAAGCCTGATGGCATTCTTCCATCCCCTCCCTTTACTAGTTTCCACAAATCAATCAAGATCAGTGTTTTCATCAGAAGGAGGCTACAAAGGAAGGGCTGAGAATAAGGATGAATAAATATAATTGATTCCTTCACACTTGAGTCTGGCTTTTAAGCAAGCAAGAAAGGGTAGTATGCAGTAGAGCAACCTGCAGTAGAGCAATCTCCTCTACCTGCAGTAGAGCAATCTCCTCAGGAGATTTTTTAGGAGAAGAGAGACATGGGAGAGAAATTGACCCAATAGAGACAATAAATGGCTCAGAAATAGTTTATGGGGCAGATTGATATTGGCTATGGAAAAATGGGTTAAAAGTTTGTCTGTTGGTATACCTGGCAGTGCCTTTTCCTTTGGCTTGCCTATGTGAATTTGAAAGTGGGGACCTTGCTGCAGACTCACTTGGAGAGCTATAATCCTTCTCCGTTTCAAATTTTTAGCTCAATTCACAGTTACAATAACCTGTGAGCCACCAAGCAGAAATAGTATAAACAGTGTGGTCTGGGGCTTGTTATCTGTTTCCAATGAGCAGTTGACCCAGGGTCATTGATCGGCTGCAAGAATGCTTGTTGTTTACAAGTAGAAGGATGCTGTTACCAAGGCATGTGTGTTTAGCAAAGAAAAGCTGTACATAATGATCAGGTGTCCCTACAGGGATACAACTCAGAGAAAATTCTAGTACCAGTATAGGTAGTCCTCGACTTATGACCTCAATTGAGCCCAACTGTTGCTAAGTGAGACATTTGTTAAGTGAGTTTTGCTCCATTCTACGGCCTTTCTTGCCACAGTTGTTAAGTGAGTGACT